GCAGTCTTTCATTTGTTGTATTTTTTCTTGTAATAGTTTCTTGGCTGAATAGCACAGCCTAACTTGAATGACTACTCAGTTGGTTTACAGCACCTTGTAATGCATTAAAGGACAACACATAAATATATACAGCCTACACCTGCTTCTTTACATTATAGAGCAAATAATGCTTATGCCTCTGCCTTTACTTTTTCTGGTGGTTAACGAAATCCCCTTGGGACTTGGGGATGAAGGCACAGTAATTGGAGTAAATTTGATAATTGCCAGAAAAATAACCGCCTATTCAACATCACAAGTTCTATGAGATATCACAGGAATGTATTCATCATCTTTCATCAAAAGCCATCTCCATCCATGCTCCCTGGAGGAGGAAAAGACCCAAAGGTCCTTAGAAATAAATAAATAAAAATGCAAGGTATTCCTTAGTGTTCCATATTTGGGGATTTTCATTTTCTTTTCAATGGGATTGGAGTGAAACATGAATTGAGAAATCACCTGGAATTAAGGAGACCATTCCTAACAATGAGGACAATCAACCAGTGCAACAGCTTGCCTCCAGAAATTGTGGGCACTTCATCACTGGGACTTTTTAAGAAGAGACTAGACCCATGATGGCGAACCTATGGCACACATGCCACATGTGGCATACAGAGCCATTTGTTAGGGCATGTGAGACATTGCCCTGTCAGCTCCAGTGCGTGCCTTCTTTTGAGGCTGTTTTTCACCCTCTGGAGGCTGCCTATGGAGCATGAAAAATCAGTGCTATGTGCAAACCAGAAGTTCAAGAACAGACTGCCGGTTTGCTGGTAGGACCATTTTTCGCCCTCTGGAGCATTCAGGAGCCTTCAGGAGGCGCCGGAGGGTGAAAACCAGCCCTATGAGCAAACTGGAAGTCAATTCCTAAACTTCCTGTTTGCCCGTAGGGCTGGTTTTTCACGCTCCGGATGCTTCAGGGAAGCTCCTGAAGTCTTTGGAGAGCATCCAGGGAGGCGGAGGAGGCTGTTTTCGCCCTCCTCAGGCTCCTAGAAAGCGTCTGGAGGCTGGGAAGGGCAAAAAAGGTGCACCAAAAGTGTGGGGAGTGCTGGTCGCATGCGCATCTGCACAGGTGCGCAGGCATGTGTTCTTAGGTCATGC